GAAGTTAAAAATCAGAAGAAGTCTGACAGCACTTTTTCAGACTTATACATTTTATTGATAGGCATAAACTGTCGTGACTCCCCCTGATTTTAGGCTACGGTAGACTAACACATCTCTCCTCCTACAATAACTCTAAGCTAAAAATACGAAGGACATTCTGTTTAGTAATTCTTTTGCTTCAGTGTGAATTGTCCTACATGCAGATTGGAGTACTTCAAAGTCACTGGGAATCAGGCAGCATATAAATTTAATAAACTATTATTATTAATACACTCCTGGAATGTATTAATAAGTTTATAAGAAGCAGATATTAGAAGCCATGTATATGCAAAGTGGTAGAAGCTTTGCAAGAAAAATGTATTTCTTTGTCACAATATGGGACTAAGATGTGGGCAACCAAATAAAAAAAAAAGTGCAGCTGCATTAAAAGGTTTAGGAATCTCGATTCTGAAAAATTAAAACTTTAGCATTATATTGTGTTCTAATTTCTAAGTTCTTGCATGGAGGTCCATTGAATGCTGTGAGAATTGAGTTACATATTGAGTGCTATGTAACAATTATTTAGCAGAACACAACTGCAATATAGACACAGAGGAGAATTCATTAAAACCTCTTATTTCTAAAGAAAACAGGTTGAGATACAATTCAGTCAGGGCCGTCTTTCCTGCACTTATTTAGTGGTTCCTCAGGAATAATATTCTGGTTATTAATGATTATAAAAAAATAAACTTTATTTTAACATCACATGGGATTTTTGGCAGGGGGGATTAACCTTAAATATATTAATGAGCAAATTTTTGAACCCTGATTTCATCCAAAACACTCAGGCAACCTGAAATGGCACCTCTAAAGATTGCTCCCAACTCTTATAGTTTGTATTTCATAACTATCTGCATGAATTCAACATTGGTACAACATAAATCTAGTCTTACTGCCAAACGGATTGAAATCCAATTCAGACACAGGAAGAAAGTCTTTGTTCAAACACACTGCATCAAAAGTGAAATCATATATCTGACTTAGAGATGACTCGACTAATCTGAATTATCCTGGAAAAAAAAATCAAAACAATACTGTTTGTATTTCTCCCAGTATTTTCTATTGTATTGCAATCCTACAAGAGTAGTGTGAAGTTTTATCTATTACTAGCAATTCCTACGTTATTACCTTATGATTTTAGAAAGTGACATCTCTGTAATGGTTTTAATGTGGTCCACTAAACCCTATGTCCACAAATCAAGTTTTCACTTTTTTTGTATGTAGTTGTGGGAATATCCTGTGACAAAAAGCTACAGATGGCCCATCTTGACACATAGTTAGATGCTGAAGAAGTGGCAATCTAATGGTTGAACACTGTGAGAAGAGGCATTTGTTAGGGAATAAAGTAGCGGCATTAAGCCTGCCCTTGTTAAAATGGTATCAGTGGAGGCAGATTTTTAAAAAAATATTGTTATGAGTGGTATATCAGAAAAAAAACACCACCACCTTATTCAGAAGTTGTGGTGGGAATTTAAGGCCCTCAATTTGAATTCCTTAGGTTCCACAAGTGCAAATGTTCAGAAGGGCACAAACTGCTAGGTTTATAGGGGCTCCCTGTAAGAGGAATATGGTATATATAATATAGGGACATAGGAGTATAGAATATAAACAAACCGAATCCAGAAACTTGGGGCTCAGCTTCGGAACCGATGACCTGGCTCTGTGCCTAAGCCACAAGGTCTCCTAAATAATTTGGTTCTAGTTGTAAGCTTTTCTTTCTCTGAACACAGGAGAAAGAGAAGAGGGACTTATCTGCTCTCCAGCTTACTTTGGATCGCCTAAGAAAAGAAGAGGAAAGGGGGGAGTATTTACAGTATTTTATACCCATATTCATTATTTCTGGGCTGTCCATTTGGCAGTTTAAAATTAACAATATGGCCTGTGGGCAAAATAGAATCTATGAAAGACATTTCATTTATTAGAAAGTTTTCACAGCTTAGCTGAAAGGATTCGAACACCCTAAACTTTTTATTTTAAATAATTACAAAATTAAGGCTATATGTATATAGTGGGTATGGGAGTGAAATTCATTTCCAGGGAATCAAATGTTTGTATTCTTGCTGGACATTTTGGGAGAGCATGAGGGTATTCTCACATATGGCAACTACCCACCATTTTTTAATGCAGTAAGACTATGTAAGGACCTTATTTTTAAAAAAGGGTGCTCAGTCTTAATACGATAGAAAATCATGGCTTCTCGTTAGGTGAAAGAGAGGCAGCTAATTTCAGGTTTCATATTTTCATTCCTCCCCTCCCCTACCAATGAGAAGATCAGAGGTTTTCCCCTTGACTTTATATGTCCCACATACCATGGTTTGTTTAAACTATGGTGAGAATATGTTTGGATCAACAATAGTTTTTAATTCTGGTTTGTTCTGAAAGTATAATTGAAACAAACAATACTTCCCTATCCGGTTAGCTTAAAACAAGAAGTGCATTGTCACAATTTATTCATACAATGGGAGACTATGGATTCCTTGCACATATGAAGGCTGCTTGTTACTTTCAAATAGCTTTGTTGGAACATTGATTCAGTATCCTTTTTCTTTCATCCCTTGAATCAAGATCAGAAAGCAGCTTCTTTGTCATTGCTCCTATTCCTTACACAGTAATGTATATGTTTATTATACTTTTATTCTTCAGTAACTTATAGATCACCTACTGCATCTCACTGACACGGCTTTTGGCATTCAGTTTCCATGAAAACTTTTGTTTTTTGTAATGTCCAATGAGTATGTTCTGTAAATATATACTTGAGGGGGTCTACATAATATCAATCTGTTTATTACTTTTTTTTTCTTTTAATATCTAGTTGACATATGTATGTAGGGACACTCAGAAGAGGAAAGACTTCCTCACCACCACCAACATTTCTCAGAGGAGATTGGTGGTCTCCTTGAGTAATGTGAAATTACTCAAGGAGTAATTGTGAGAGCTGCTGGTGGAGAGATAATGGTCTAAAACTGAGCAACGAATTTGGGGTTGTTCTGCTCCACCACAGCCACCACCCCATGCCTTGCTGCATTCCGCATTGACAGGAGTTTCCTGTGACTCTTTAGAAAGATTTTTAGGATATTAAGGGATGAGGGATGGAAAGAAGAAGGAAAGAAACGTTACAACTGTGGACTACCTTAAGTTATCTTAGCCATTATATTTTGAAATAGCATGATCACAGCTGAAAATCAAAACGTTAACATTCCAACTGTCTGTCAGGGCATTTGTTCTATATAATATTCATTCCCAAACCTTGTAATCAAATGGCTTTGTTAATATGAAACTACTGCATTCCACTCCACTACTTCCTTAGGAACTCTGGCATTACTTTTTTGTTTGTTTCAATCAAAGGAATATTTAGATGTGCATAGATTTGCCTTCTTTGCTGTAATGAAAGAGAAATGAAGGAAATCTCATGTAAAACTTTCAGGAGGACATGGCTTTTTCTCATTATAAGTCACTATATTTTGGGTAATGTATCTAAGTGATCGTTCAGTTATTCATTGTGGAAATACCCTCAGTGACCTAATCTTTCCTCCATCTTTAGACACCATCATATATTAGGGCAGTGTTATCCAAACTTGGCCACTTTAAGATGAGTGGACTTCAACTCCCAGAATTCCCCAGCCAGCCATGGGATTCTGGGA